GTTGCATATAGATCAATCACGAAGGCAGTAGCAACCTATATAGTATGTTCAATGCACGCAGCTAAGGCAGTCAGTCAGCCAACATACCCGTAGACAAAGCCGTTGTCGCCATCTCAAACTGGATGTCTGACCTGGTTGCGTCGCCAGATGGAAGCGAAACACGAAGACGACTGCGATCTAACATAAAACAGCGCAGGTCTCAGTATTCATAAGCAATTACAATGCCTAGCAATATTTACACACAACCTTACACCAATTGCAACGGATAACACCAAAAACCACACTAGCAGTCGGATTACGTCAAAAACCTACTGGAAAACATGAAATTCAGTATCCACAGAGTCCTCGAAGCTCTCGTACAGCCATCACAAATGGATTCATATACGTCCCACAGTATCATCACAGACAGGACAGAAATTGCCAACCCAGGATCTCATATCTTTTTAGCAATCCTTTGTCTAACTCATTGATGTGACAAAATAGGCCCCAATTTAAAATTTTGAGCAGTCCTGTCAGCCACTTACCGGACATTCCCGGCTCAGCCGCCGACGAGACCGCCTCTTCCTTTTCCTTCACCTTCTCCTCCTCCACCAACTCAGTCACATGACTGTCTGCACTCATGCGTACGCTTGCGGCTAAAATGGAAATGCGTTCAATGAATGCAGATTAACTTCAAAAACAGCATCGCCTGTATAAAAGCAAGGGCCATAGCGGAATTTCCACTAGAATTAACAGCCCTCACCGTGTGTCGCGAACCACATAGGCTTCAGCATTCGTAGGTAGTTAATATCACGGTGCCTATCAAATGAGAACCCTGACACCACCACTAGCACAAGCAGTCCCATTACGTCCAAAACTGAGACCAGACCTAACTATCTAACTCACCGCCAACAGTCATTGAAGCACTGTGTTCTAAGGGCTTTAAGCTGCGCGTCCTTTCACCAAAATTAGAGTCAACTACATCCTACAGAAACACAACAAACCTTCACAGCCTACTCAAAACTTCCTATAAGACCAATAAACTTTTACCACGTCACAAAAATGACAAATCAAAGTTGCTAATCCATCTACAGCTTCCTTCACAATCGCCGCGCACTTGTCGGGCACCTCACCCTCCTGTTCCGCCAGGGTATCCAATCGGCTAGCTGGGTGCCTAACGAGGGATAGCGATGACCAACCTAGGATCCCAGGTCTTTTTAAACAAACATTTTACCAAAAAAGACGCCAAACTGGACTCTCGTCACAAAAATACGCCCACCTCATCTAACTCCTCCAAAATCTACAAAGGCACTTACCAGAAACACCCAGCTCACGTTATCCAGTCTTTTTCAACAAACCATCTACTACAACCACCCTCAAGCCAAACTCTCCTGACAAAGGTATACCCGCCTCATCTAACTCTTCCAAAATCTACAGAGGCACTCACCAGAAACTCCCGCCGACGAGGCCGTCACTTCCTCCTTCGTAACTTTCTCCTCCTCCATGGCCACATGACTGTCTGCACTCATGCGTATGCTAGTAGCTAAAATAGAAACACGTTCAATATTAGCAGATCAACATAAAAAGCACAGCATTGTCTACACCTTCGACTGTAAAAAAACACAAGTTATAGGCCCATTACGAGTTGCTAAACGGTGCCACAGCCCCATCCATAGGTCACAAACAGCAAGCGACCCCGCATTCGAAAGCAAGTAGATTCACAGTGCCTATCAACAAAATGACACAAAAGAACACCTGCTTAGTCCCCAGAGATCAGCACCAGCAGGCCAGCCCGAACCTAATTATCCAATTCAGCATCATCAGAGTTCCCGAGGCCTACTGGTTTAGTGGCTTTACGTTACGCGTACACAACCACTACAGCATTATCTCCTGCTAAGCAATGGCATGCAACCGGCTGGCTGGGGATGACCGGCACGCCAGAAACGGCCAAATCGGGATCACATATCTTTTGAGCAATCCTTTGCCTTACTTCTTGATTTGACCAAACCTTCCAAGGTAGGCGTTAAGCCGAAATTCCAGTAGGACTGTCAGGCACTTACCAGAAACTCCCGGCTCAGCCCCCGACAAGGCCGTCACTTCCTTCGCCTTCTCCTCCTCCTCCTCCACTGTCACATGGATGTCCGCACTCATGCGTACGCTTGTGGCTAAAATGGAAACACGATCAATACTAGCGGATCAACTTTAAAAACACCCTCACCTATAGC